GTGTGTGTGTGTGTGTGTGGTGTGTGTGTGTGTGTGTGTGTGCGTGTGTGTGTGTGCGTGTGCGTGTGCATGTGTGCGTGTGCTGAGAGGGCGCGTTGGATTCCAGCGTTTACTGAACGCCCTCCTGAGTGTGGCTTTTGCCCCCGGAGCCGCTCTTTTCGATGCAGCGTCTCTCCCACTTTCATCTTTCTGCAGACAGTGTTTGCCAGTCACTGCGATCAGAAAAGGCTTTCTCGCATGTCAAAAGAGACGGCGCGCAGCGCTGCTAATACGGCGACTCTCAGGACTCTCAAGAAGTAATTAAAGGCATGCCGGGTGCAAGAAATTAATCCAACACTTTTCGGTGGACATAAAATTGTGATTTTTCTTGTAAACTCTGGAGGTGAAGTCCGCCTCATTTTGCGGAGTTGGATTACGCCAACTGTTATGAAACAATGTTCATAAATCTAACAACTGAAAATAAAACCTTATTTAATAACAGTGTGAGGTCTGGCCGTAGTGTTGCACTAATGGTGGGGGAAGACCACCATGGAAATTTGGAGTTTATAATGCGTTTATTTTTTTTTTCACCCGTTCTTTTTTTCATGGTACACTGATCATTTGACATTCAATTGCATGGATTTTTAAAAACAACATTTCAAAAATACTACAGGGCAAAATTTAAACAAATAAACCAAAACAAATGCACTTTTTTTTCTTTTAATGTTGTTTACCAAGTTGCTCCTCCATCCAAATGCGTTTTGTCTACACCGACAGGATCCACTCAGAAATGGGAGCGCTCACTTTGTAATGTTGATGTCTCAGACCTCGTTCAAACCTTTTCAGTAGGGCTGAGGATATTACCTTCATTTCAGCCAGTTTTATTCACTCTAAAATCAGTTTTGATGTGTTTTGGACCCAAATACCCAAATCTGACCATCTGGTCCAAACTGACCACAGTATTTGACAAGAAGTTAGTTTAAATGTTCAGGAACTGGGCTAAAATTGGCTCAAGTCAGTCTTAAATTATGTTAAATCAACTTTTTTGAACTAAATCATGTTATGATGTTATTCCCTCATCAAAAATGTACCTAGTGCTAGGCCTGTCACAATAATCAATAAATCAATGAATCGCATGGTAAATTAAAACAAACTCAATAATTTTCATTGGCATGATTTATCGTTTCTCTTTTTTATCATCGGTTTCTCCCAATAACTGATGATAAAGTTCTTCAGTTTGGCATTTTGGTCTCAACTAGACCTTTTTTTAATGACAATTTTGTTTACAAAGACCTCAAAGTTAATTTTATTTGTTGTCTTGTTTAATTATTTGGGGTATTTAAAATGTTCCAGTTCTGGTGTGAAATGTTAATTAAAGTTTACTGTGTCCTTGCATTATTATTATGCCATTATATCATCATGCTACTTAAAAATGGTCTGATTATTATCGAAGCAATAACTTCTGGAAAAATTTATCGTGCAGTAAAATCTGTTATGGTGATGCTGTGATTCATACATGAACTTTTGAGAAATCCTTTAACCTCCCATGGCAACCGTTCAAGGTTAATAGAGGAGCGACGTTGTGATGACTTTCTGATGGCAGAGTGTCTGAAAGAACAAGAGTTTCTTAAAGAGACAGAGGCCCGATTTCAAGGCGTTAAATTACAAAGATAGCTTCGTTGTGCTATAAACTGCCTCTACGTGTCTGGAAAGCACATAATACTTTCCCTTTAAGATGGAATCTGCTGGCACAACAGTGTTGCTGTCCACAGAATAGTGAAGTTTACATCTCTCAGCTAAGATCTAAGATGGATAAAGGTAGAATTGCACTCTGAGGGGACAGTTTTAAACACCTGCACATTTCAAGAGTACCGATTCAAACTGTTTTCCACAAATTCGCCAAGCCAAGAAGACAGATAAGCCTCAACTCTATGGAAAAATTATGGACCATGCTTAAGTGCTGTGTATGTGCCAGTGAGTTAATATGTTTAACCAATCTCTTGTGTTTCTGCTAGTTGTCAAATATCCAAAGAAGCGTGTTAATGGCTACAGAACACATGTGGTTGCTGTCCAATGTATGACCAAATGCTAATTGGGAAGCATGTATATACTTAATCATATGCATACATTTTTAATTGTGCACGGGATAGAAAAAAATCCCCCCAAAACTCAAACATGTGCAACATATTCTTTTCAAAACTTTGCAGTTGCGTAATCCTTCTACTGTGTCAAAAAAGGAACAAGTTCCTATTAAACATTAACGCTCATGATGAATGTATGCAAATTTCTAATCGCAGCACAAAATGTTCCAACTTCACTTCAATATAAATAAGAAGAAAAAGTGAAAATGGTTTAAAATTTCTGAGTTATCCTTTTCGAATCTTGGAGATTGGCATGAAATGAAGAAAAGAAAGAAGAAAAAAAAAATCCCATTACATTTTTTAGCAGCTCAAGGCGCTCCCCTGAGCTGCAGAGGGCACGGAATAACAAAGCTGAGGGACGACTCGGCTCCTTACCTCTGATGGGCTATTAGTTATTCTAGCTAGCAAAAGCCCCATTAGGTCTGCCGTTTAATGGTCCCACGCCACATTCTCACACGAAAGCCGCTAGATTGATAAGGTGAGCATCTCACCTCAAGCTTTCCTCTTGCTCGAGAAACGTTCTGCCACAGACAATCTGACAAGAGCTGATTTACCTCAGCCTGCTTCTTGTAGAACCAGCAAACAAGCAAACGTTTTTTTTTCCCCCCTTTCTTTTTGTGTGTGTGTGTGTAACGACGTCTCTCTGGTGACATTAGTCGAAAACGCAAGATCCAAAGCAGAAACCTCTGAATATTCTGCAATTATTTATAGGCTGTATGTAGAATAAAGGGGATGGGCCGAGTGGCAAGGAGGGAGATTAAAGTTTGTCTTTTGAGCTGCACAGACAGATGCAGTTGAAAAGAGAGTTTGGCTTTTTATACTCGGCAGCATGTCTGTTTTGTAAAACAGAAGGGTCCAGTGACATTACGGCTTTCCCTCCACAACATGTCCAGTTAATCAGACTGAACCAGAGCGCACGAGGCAAGCAACAGGACACAGATCCGGAACACTGGGGTTACAAGGCCATAAAAGTGTCCAATTAAGCATTAGCAAATTGATGCTTTTCTTTTTTTTCTTCTTTTTTCTTTACAAAGAATGAGAACTCAATGTTGAAAAATGACCAGAGGCTTCACATCCACTTGAAACCAGCCATATACACACAACGTCTAGAAAGGCACAACCTTTTTTCTCTCTGTCTGATATTAAATCAGACTAAACCTTTCCTGTATCAAGTCAGGATCACCAAAACCATGTCTGTTCACGACATACCAGAATTCGCTTTTCTTCAAATTCAAAGGCTCGATAAGATCGACACTTTAGTTTCGGATTCCTTCTTGAAATGTTATTTTATTCTTTTGCTGTAGTTTCTCGAATGTGTCACAGCAACAAAAAAATAGTTGTTTTGATTTGCTCCGAAATACCTTTTTTTTTGTTGCACTTTTTAAGAAAAAAACATGCATCCAAATTCATTTTGTTTCTTCTGTTTATCATGTTGAAATATAATTTAGGCGTTTTGCAGACATCTATACACTTTGTTGCAAATATGTGTGACAAAAGAGTTCATAGAACAAATCACAAAAACACCTGAAGCTCAGAAGTTTGATTATATATTAAATATAAGTAACGAAAAGTATTGGTATTTGAACTGGTATTGGTATCAGCGATACTGGCCCTGTATTTACTTGGAATCTGATTGATACCAAAATATGCAGGATCGCATCCCTCCAGCTTGAGCCAGCATCTGCACAAGATCTTTTGCTTTGTTCTTGCACAAATGCAGATATTTTGTATTAAAATATATCTATCTCTTGCCAGACAGAACCCATATCCTTCCTGGAGAGACGGCTTGACAATCCCTGGTGCTTACACTTGCTAATAATTCTTTGAACAGATGAATGTTTTACCTTCAGGCATCTGGAAATTGTACTCTAAGAAGAACCAGACTGCCAGGATGCCGTGACATCATCATCTGAGGTTTCCCAGACTGTCAAAACTCCACTGTAAGTTTAACATATGCAACATGCTGACTTTAAAGGAAGCATTTTAAGACACTTTCTCTACCTATTTCTGGCTTTTAGCAAACGGAAGTAGATTTTGTAATTCCTAACTGACTTAGAACAAAATAGTTTAGTCTGACTTAATTTCAAAACGTGTGAGAGAAAAGAAGAGGTATCAGCTGTGTGTGTCTCATGTTTATGAACTTAAACAAAAGCAGCATAATGCAGTTTCCCAGTGCAGCAGCACAACATAGCCCAGCAGAAAAAACGAGCCCAAATGCATAATTTATTTTTTATTTGGCTACAGGCCATTATGGTGTTCTCCGGCGCGCAACGACTGTTTGAACTTTGTAAATGGAACCAATGAGGAAAATGCTAAACACACAATCGCTGGAGGCAAAGAGAAGGGGGTGAGATATGTGATCATCAGCAGGTAGGTTTGCAGATATCTACACACTTTATACGACAGAAAACAAATATCAAAACTCACACGGCTCTTGCAGCAAACACACGGGATAGGAGGAGAACACCTGCACAGTGACTTGAGCTAATACATTGTTTTTATTCCAAAAGGCTGACTGCTAATGTGCAGATTAAACAAACAGGGAGTCTTTCATGTAAGTAATGAAAAATAGACCTGCTTTATCTATAATGCATTGCAGTTCACTCCAAAATAAGACTCATATTTGAGTGTTTATCGTTACACGATTGTGGCCGAACAGCAGGTTGGTCATATGGAACTGAGACAATCAGCATATTGGAAATCAAGTCACTGTGCACTGACCTTTGTTTCCTCATCCCAAATCAGACAAGAGCAGAGAAGAAAACAGCTTGTTCTTTTTTATATATATAGATATATATATAGAAATCCAACAGAGTGTTAAGAAAATTTACCTCGCATGCCTCGCACTGGAAATGGGTTTTTGGAGGACAACGGTCATACCTCGCATTCCCTGGAGCCTGAGATGGTGTAGGTGTAAGGTCCCGTCCCATTAACCAGCATATCCATAGTCTCTGAATGGGAGGGCTTGTAGTCCACATAGTACTCTTGCAGGGGGGAATTAAAGGAGCGCTCAGTCTGTCGTGCCTGTTTCTGGCGCTTTTTGACTGCCGAGCGCTGCTGGAGCTGTTTGAGACTGCTGGGATAGTGTTTCCATGACACATAGATAACCAGCAGAATTACAGCCACAGATAAGAAAAGTGCCACGCTGCCGGCTATGATCTTGTGGAAGGATACATAGTCGGTGTCGGGCAATGGCACGGGGGTGGGAGCCTCGGAAGGAGTTGGCGGGGTCGTCGTATTCCAGGTCAGCTTTTTATCCGCCACCAGCTGCGTGGGAAGAGGCAGGAAATCAGGCTGGAAAGGGGAAGTGAGAGGCAAAGTCGTCGAGGGGATTGGGGTCGGGGTTGCTGTACAGATGTTATAAGTCTCCACCACATCTGTCACTTTCTCTCCTTGGGCCTCCTTAGGGCTAGCACAAATCATAGTAGTCTCTTTGTTGCCCTTGAAGGCTTTGAGCCAGGACACCAGCGGGCATATGTTGGGGTTACAGTGCCACAAATTCCCGGCCAGACTGATGGTGGTTAGGGAAATCCAAGTCTCCGCCGTCCGCTGGGAGACGTTGCTGAGTTTGTTGGAGTCCAGATTCAGAGTCTGAAGGTTGGGCAGGCACTGGAATGTGCTGGTGTCCAGCACTTCCAGCTCGTTTCCCGAGAGGTCCAGCTTTTGCAAGGAGGTCCACATCCACGGCAGGCCCTGGGTTAGCAGCCTGATGCGGTTCCACTGCAGGTAGAGGGCCCTCAGGTTAGTCAGGCGGGGGAAGTGAGCAAAGTTTATCTTTGAAAACTGGTTGTGCTCCAAGTGAAGCTCGACCAGCTTTAAGAGTCCTGCAAAAGCGTTGCGCGTCAGGCTCCTGAGTCTGTTGTAACCAATATCAAGAAACTCCAGGTTGCGACAGTCGAGGAAAACTCGCATGGGGATGGTCTTTAAGGAGTTCGACCTCAAGTGCAAACTGAGCAGCTTCCGCAAACCCAAGAACTGATTGGGTGTCAGAACCTGCAGCTTGTTGTAGGACAAGTCGAGGTTTCGTAGATTTGGGACGTCGTGGAACGTGTTGTTCTTCAGCTGCGTGACCTTGTTGGAGCTGAGGATCAGCTCCTTGAGCCTCCGGATCCCGTGGAACGCCTGGCCATCCACCGCAGTGATGTAATTGTGGTCGAGGTAGAGCCACACCAGTTGACTGAGACCTGCAAATTGCCGGGCTCGGAGGTTCACCAGGCTGTTGTAACGGAGGGAAAGGCCCTGCGTGCTCACAGACACGTTGTTTGGCACATCGCGGAAGGCGTTGGATTCACAGTATATTATTTTCCCATCGCATCTGCAGCTCGAGGGGCAGCGGCGCTCCCGGATACCGCTCGGCGCTGCAAGCAGCCAGGCGGGTATCGCCACCGTGAACATAAGCCATCTGAAAAGCACAGAAAGACCTAGAGACAGAGACAATGACAAGTGTAAAACAAAAGCAGGATTCAGACTCAGGCAGACGTATTCAGAAGCAACAACTGCTCTGGAATAGTGGTGCCGAAAGTTTGTGTCATCAAATATGACTCAAAAGAAATGTTATTTCGTAATTTAACATCTTTAAATTGGGCTTCTGTCTCTTTAAAAACTCCTGCTCGTTCTGAAACTCCACCTTCAGGAAGCCAACACAACACGGCTCTTCTATTAACCTTTTCACAACGTTTTCACCAGCGTCAGAAACCATGAGCTCAGCAGACGCGCCGCTCCAACAGGAGTTTGCTAATTGCTGCTGCTAGTCTGAAGGAGCTGAGTGGTGGAGCCATGCAGGAGGGCAGCTCAGTGAGGCAAAAACTCACAGATGAGGAGCTGCGTCATGAAGGTGGAGCTAGATTCAGCCTGGCGTTTTGCACAGCTGAAATGTTGCCATGCGTGAGAGAGTCAAAGCAACTATCCAGGTGTTTTTTTGATGAGGGAATAACATCACAACATGGCAAAAAGCTCAAAAATTGTGATTTTATATGATAATGCTCCAATAAAATAAAAACCACAGGGCTTGGACCTTTCCAGTTGATTGTTTCATTAACAAGATGTTCTTTTCCATTGGAACGGTGTGTTCGAAAGGAGCGTTGGCGGTTCCATTGTGTGTTACTAATTATTATTTATTTGTAAAAGCCCTAATGAGATAATTTTCCAAATTCAGATTAGTTAAAATAAGGTTTGACTGCTTTAATATGATAGAAATTGTCAAAGTTACTAACTAATGACGTTCCAGTACATTTTCGATCCCTGGCAGCCATATTGAATGCAAAATGCAACCTCAGTCTTTCTCAGTTAAGATTTCTGACTTCGTGGTGGTTCCTGTTTTTGACCAGGGAATCAGTCTTCTGGGTATAAAGAGAAAGCACTTTTACCATACCTCACATGTTTGTTGCCATGCTGCTGAAACAAGTTGGATTTAATGTTATTCCCAGATCCATCACATGATGTGAGAGAAAAAACATGTAGCCACAAGTGCTTGTTCAGCCTTGGTTTTCTCTAGTCTGCTTCAATTTAAACTCAACTTTAAGTTCATCAATATTTTTTAATAGTACTTCTCTTCTCAGTTTCTGTTTAAAACAAAAACTTTTTTTTTTTTTGCTTTAGCAACTTATTCTCCTCGTTTGTTATTTTTAAAGCGTTACAACAAATTTCTCTGAAAATAGTTATCAGAATTTATTTAGAGCACCACTAAACTCAAGAAAAGTACCACCAGTTGTTCTTGGATCAAGTGGATTTTTTTTTTTTTAACAAGGGCATTCTAGCTCTGCACTCAGGATGTCATTCAGTTGGAGGGCGGCACAACAATTTGATAAGAAAAAACAAACAAAACTAAAGGTTTTTGTAATTTGTGCCTTAAACATTTTCTGTTTCTTCACAAGTCAAGCCTGCCTCTGTTGTGTTGAGTGTAAGTACCGTGGGAAAAGGCTGGCAGAGCCCCACTAACAACACTGAAGTTAGCATCTGATCCAAGATCCCAATTCAGCAACAACTTACAGGAGTAGTTCACAATTTGTGAGGACGATGAACTGCATTTGATTCACACAAATTCAATAAAATGCTTAGCTTAGATAAACTCGTATGTGCTGTTCTGCTGAAAGGAGGCGACTTAAACACAGTTTAGACTTTATGAAACCATCATATTGGGGGGGGGGTATTTCTAGGGTAACTAGGCCCATGTTAGATTTAGTCAAGCATGAAAACCACAATTCACAGACCGATCGATCCTTTTCAGAATGATTCTCCATTGATTACAGGTTCTTCCAATCAAACTTTGCCATTAGTGAGGCACAAATTGGGGAATGGGGGAAGTGCGGCAGGAGCATAGCAGGAACTCTTCCCAAGGCACCGTTAATGCACAGTTTGGGATCCTTAATGGCTCCAGAATACGCACCACTGTGTTCCTCACTAATTTTCACACTCAAAGGTGATTGATAACCACATTCATCAGGTATAATCTGACAGTTTGTTGTTGGCCCCTCCAAGAGAAAAGCCTCCTTGAAATTCCCCCAACCTGCACGACTGCAGGCTGGGGCACCATCACCAACACCTTGAATTCAAACTGTAGTCAGACAGACAGAGCGAGGCTCGGGAGGAGTGAACATACCCATACTTGCACGACGTCTGCCTTTCCTCATGTTCAGGGATGTCTTCCGGATGCGATCCGGCTCCACATGTCAGACGCGGTCGGCGTTTTGCCCAAAATAGTTTGCACATGCAAGCACGGGGAAACGCACGCACTTTGCGCCGGAGTCTAACTAACCCCCCACCGCCCTCCGTCCTCCCCTCGCCGCGCTCACAGCCGCGCACCTGTCGGAGAGGACCGCGGCTCCCTCAAGGTGCTCATCAACCCCTCTGTCCGCTGAGTTTACCGCACCACATCAGCTCGGTCCCGCATTTTTTTTTTTCTCTTCCTTCCTGTCGCCTCAATCAAGGATGGGAAGGAAAGCGCTCAAGCTCGTAGAGCCATGGTGATGATGATGATGATGATGGTGGTGGTGACGATGATGGCACTCTCCAGCGCACGCTGTGGGAGGCTGGAGGACGCTCTCCAATCACAGAGTCACCAATTGTTGATTCGAAGTTGCGGAAAAGACAGCAGGAAGAGAGCGAGCGAGCGAGCGGAGCAGTTTGGAGAGGAGCTGAACTGCGCGGTCCGAAGACGACAAGTTGCGGTATCCTGCTTCAGGGAGGCGGGGAGGACAGACAGAGGGGATGGGGGGGGGGGGACAGAAGAAAGAGGAAGGTGCAGGCGGCTTTGTGGATTAGACGCGTTGGTCGTGACACCGAGAATAAATAGCAACAGGAACGATGTTCCGGCGTGTGGAAGAAGGAGGACGGAGGATGCTGGTTGGCTGCTGCTCCCGTTCTCAGGACGCGAGACGCCCTCTCCTGGCCGCCGAGTGACACTGCGCAGCCCGCACCCGAACTGGTTCCTCATTGTTCCCGCGAGCACAGCCTGCATATTAATTAAAGCCGGGCGACTGGGAACACTGTTCGCCCTGCATGTAGATGGTCGGGAAGCTTCGCTTCAGAACGGACGTCTGCACAAAGAGCTCACATCACAACCTTATTTATATATGTATGCGGAGAAATAAAATCAAATGTTTCAGGAGATGCGAGGAATAGTTTGTAACTTCTAAATGTTTTAACTCAACATTTCAAATAATAATAACAATAATCAAATTGTAAGTTGAAATACAAATGAGTTAACTTAGAACGAATTTTAATTTTTTTAAAAAAAAATGTTTACGCAATAGTTATACTATAAATAATTTGTAACCTCATTTTAATGAAGTAGTCAAAAGAGTTAGTTACACAGACCTGCAGTATTCGTCATTTTAGTGATAAAGACAGATTAATGTAGCCTGTTGAACACCACACGCGACCGACACTTTCTAAACAGAACAAGAGTTTGATTGTTCTCAGCTTCTGGCACAGATCATTTGACAACTTTTCTCATCAGAAATGATAGAATTAATTGACATTGTTTGCTTGTACGTCTCTGCCTCAACAACCTCGAATAAAGTCATGAAGTCATTGGCAGGACTCTGCAGAATTTGATTGTATATTGAGGAAGCAATTAGGTGTGTTGCACCAAGGACACCATTAACGACTGCAGCTCAGGAGCTTTGTTTTAAGATAAAGTCCATAAAAGTTGGAACAAAGGAGATCAGGGCCATTCCAGATTGTTTACATTAGCCCATTTGACCTGTTTTTATGTTTGTTAGGGTATTACTATTATCCTGTTGCGTTTCGCTTTTGACATTCTAGCTACTGATTTGATGTCAAGCTTAAATATTTGGAGGTATTCCTCACTTGTCATTGACAACATTGTCAAAATGTGACAATGTTGTTTTTTTTTTTCTTTTTCACACTTTAATGTCTGTGGGCTCACCTTGTAGATGAATGACCAGCCTTTTGCCGCTTCATTTCTGTGTTTAGTTCGTGTTGTTGTACGCCGAGGGTGAGATGTATCACACAAAAAACAAAGAGTTTCTCTAAAGGCTTTATAATGGGAGCCCGGGACGGGGTCAAAGTCATCATTTCTAATATGTCCCTTACCCCCTTGTACTTAACGAGTCACATTAATTACGAGTAATGAACATTAATGAACATTTGAGCTCAAATCACAGATAGCGTGTCGCAGAGAAATTGCAGGAAACCAGACCAAAAGCGGACACATCCATCACTTCAGCTCCAATCTCTGATTTAATTTCCATTGTTAGATCAATCAACTAACTGAGGCTGAAGGGCAGGTCAGGAATCTACACACACACACACACACACACACACACACACACACACACGCCCACACACACACACACACACGCACACACACACAGACACACACACACACGCCCACACACACACACACACACGCACACACACAGACACACACACACAGACACACACACACACAAATTGCTCTTGCACACACTCACTCACAAACACACACAAATCCACATCAAGGTGACTGTGAGCATGTCAGCGACATTAACTCGGCTCCGAATCTAACATCCTGCAGCACTCTAATCTGTTCCATCAAAAGGTCTGGCGATGCTTGCAATTGATTAGTCATGCATGTTTTCGTAAACTGAAATGTGACACGGTGGCAGAGTGGGAGGGTGAAAAGAAACTGCTGCACATGCCACTGGTGGGGTTAGCGCAAAGCTAAATCTACCGGAGTGACTTTATCTGGAGATCTTTGGCATCTGTGGGGTGAACTTGTTTAGAGTGAATCCTTGTCACCCACTCATCTCCCAGGAAACAGAATAAATGTCCATGGGTTCAGGATAACATCATGTCTAGTGAATACTTACTTTTCAAAAACCACAGAAACAGTTTCCTTCGACATCTCGTCGTTTTGACTCTGCAGGTCATGGCGTTATGTCTATTGGTCGGTGTCCCCGTCACTCGCTAATTAACACAAGATTGTATGAAAAAAAAAAGAAATGGATGCAAATTGATTCTCGTGTAGGAAAAAGGTTTCATGTCCCTCTCTTGCCCGTGCTTCGTCCTTGCACCGTCACCAGGCCGGTGCCACTAAGTGAGAGATGAGGTAGACCTTGAACAGATCACAACTCCATCACAGGGTAACACAAAATAGAAATCACGCTTAAGCACACACTCACAACTCAGGGCAATCTAGCCCAATTAACGCAACGCTCGTGTTTTTGGATGGCGGGAGGAAACGAGAGTGCTTGGAGAGAAGCCAAGCATGCACAGGAAAAACAACACCGAGATATTCCTGGCCTGGATTCAAACCCAGGTCCTTCTTGGTGTGAGACAGCGGTGCTAACAACTCCTCAGTTGTGCAGCTATAGTAAGTGTCTGACTTGTCGCGGATCACTTTCTATTTATGTTGTTGAACAAATCTGGTGTGACCCATTTTTCATGTTTCGTTTAGCTTTTCTGGTTATCAGGCATTCACACGCCACGCAGGGTTGAGTCTGGCGCGTTCTTCTCACACTACGCTATATTTTTCTCATACAGCAGTCCTGGCTTGAACTGCCTCAATTCACCCTGTTAATTCTTGAAATGCTGTTCCTGGCGACGTAAATAAATACTTGTGTTTCGGATGTCGGAAATAACAAGCAACTTCTCAAGCGTCGTCAGAAACAGGTCAGCCCCGGGACAGAGCTCAGCAGAGACTCTGGTGACACGTTCACCTTCCTTCGCGAATAAAACTAAACGGCTTCAATTATGGTGGGTGACCGACTGAGCAAGGGGTCTGCTTTTTCCGTGACTAATGAATCACATGAAAACAAATTTTACAGATGAATATGCAGTAAAAATAAATAAATAAATTTGCTCGGGGAGAAAACTGAGGCAACTTTGAACTCATGCTGACCTCAACTTCTAAATCTGTAGCTTTAATGAGCTCCTGAACATTTGCCCCCCTGCAGGCAGGCTTTTCCCAAAACATCTGGCGTTAATTCACCCCAATGCTTCCACCGTGAATCAAATTGTACACCTTGTTTTGTTGTTTGATGTGTGCTGTTGATTTATCATTGTTCTCACTGGTTCTTCGAAATGTCTCTTTACGATGCATTTTGGCAGACGGCTCCTTGGCTGGTTTCTGTGCAAAAAAATAGAAGAAGAAAAAAAAGTAACTGGCCTTTAAAATCTAATAATTGCTTGTGCTGCTCTTGGCTTCGTCAACTGACATCAAGCGTTTGGGATATTTACCATCGCACAGATTTCTAAAAGTTCCATTTTCGCCTTGTGGGTCCACAGTATGTTTTCCCAAATCGTGGGAAAGGTCAAAAAACTTTTATGTGGAAATGTGGGATTATCGCTTTAATCCATTTTGGTCAGCGGTGGGTTTGATCTTGGAACCGTCTCACGGACGCCATGTTAGGCCAGTCTCTCCTTCTTCTTGCAGCCGATTGATGAATCCTGACCTGAACCTTTTGTGACCTCCTGTATGAGTCCCTGTTGGAGTAATCGTGGTACGACCGTCACTTCTGGGAATGTTCATCTGTGTTTTCTCCGTCTGTGGAAAGTGGCTCTCATTCCGGTTTACTGCAGTCCAGAAGCGTTAGAGATGACTTTGTGACCCTTTCCAGAATGAGAAAGATATTTTTAGATCTGCTTCATGGTGTCCTATTTAAGAAACTTTTTTGATTATTTGGATCTGACTGTTACCAGCTTGTGTCTAATATCCTGTTGATATGAGCTGAATAATAGTTAATTCAGGATTAAAAGATGGTTTGGAAAACCTTTGTCTTTTATTAAATATAATCTTGGAGTAATGACCTTCTGACCTTTGCTGTTTCTGCTTCAGAAAAGTCCAACACACTGTCAATGACAGATACACCGAATGAAAACACACATATGCCTTTCAGTCTCACTCTATGCCGTTAAATTGGACAAAATTCCCACTTGTTTTGGGACAGAATTACCAAAATTATTTCTTTAACTTTCTTTAATTTCCCCCGCAATGTATTTTCCTCGTGATTGTGTCCTCGTGTTTTTTTTGTTTTTTTTTACGGTGTACGCAAACTTCTCGTTTCAACTCTAATCGAAACATCAAACAGACATTAAAGTGCAGCAAAAGGCCAAAAGCAGAAGAAAGAGACGCTCTATCAGTGGTTAAAAACAAGGTCAAAGCACAATTTAGAGATAACCAATAACCATATTGCAGCTGGGTTTACGTCAAACACCTGCAACCTAATATTTTCCATCAGAAAGGTTTTTCTTTGGCAGCCGCTTATTTCCTCTTTCATTCACAGTTGTATGTGTGTTTATTTCCTGATGGATAATGAATTGCAAATTGAAAATGTCTGGATACACAAGGTGTGGGTAAACCAGACTTATGTCTTGTACTCCAGCAGGGACATATTTAAACCAGCTGAAAGCAGCATCCTCGTGGTTGATGCATCTCCTCGTTCCTGTGGTGGTAGGAAAACAAGGCGTGGGAGCTTCTCTCCGTTTATAATTTCCGCAGTTACCTTGGAAGGGGTGAGCTGACCCTCACCTGCACAGCACGCCAGCCAGCTTCTAATTCTGCACAAAAAACAGGCACATTTACTAATGCCGCCTCTGAGAAGTGTTAATCCAGCAGCAGCCGTACGCAGGTGTTTGACCTGTTTTTGAAAAACAAAAGAAGCGAGAATTTAGCAGCAAGCGGTTCATACGACACGCAGAGCAAGCGCGTTACTTCTGTAAGCTGAGTGCATTGGTTTTCCAGACTTCTAGTTTTGTCTGTGTGCTA